GGTGTTGGTTTGGGTCATCAGGCCACCAGGGGGTGTGTGGATAATCACAGATTAGTGACCCTCACAGAAACAAGACGGAGAAGAGAAGGAAATAGGTGCGCTCTGCCTGCGCCGTGCGTGTGCTGCTTTAAATCCTAAAACCATATGGCCGAGGCATTGTTGCGAGGAGCCGCTCTTTTCCCCCGCCGAGCGTCCAGAGGAAGGTGACATTAGCTGTGACCTGCGGCTAAGTGACAGGAACTCAGGCATACTTTCACCGCGGCTTCTCCCTTTTCCTGTTATTCCTCAACTCCTGTGATTTTGTTTGCCTTGGAGCCGTGCCAGCGCAGTGGGCGAATCGACAAGCCTACTATTTTTACATCCGTCTTTAAGGACCTCTGCGTACCGGCTCTGCCTGCCAATTTGCCCCATCAGCAGTGGCAACCAAGAAGAGCTCTTAAGGCACCGAGCCTTTCATTTTTCTGTTGGCGATGTGACTAATGTTGTCACTGTTATGTGAAAAAGCACTCAGACTGAATTGCTATTATTATTGTTAAAGCCATCATCATCATCATCATCATCAGGCTTGTTTATGGTTATGGATAATGATGGTAATTTTGTTCAGGCCTTGCAGTTGACTCTCTTTCTCCTGCAGCTCCACATGCACCCTTTCTTGTGTGAGCGCTGGGTTTCAGATGTGCTGGCAAATTACTAAAGTTGTTGTTGAAAGAAAATGGTTTTCTAACAGGTAACACGGCTCACATGTGAGGGACGGACAAGTTGTGTGCTCGCTGACAAGATTAAATACGTTCCATCTCTCAGTGCATGCCTCTTATGTGTATGTGTGTTAGGCAAGAGAGCAGAGACATTTTAAAATCTTTTTACATTATTTTCTGTTTCATTTCTTTTTCACTCCCATGTTTTATTCTCTATCTCACCTCTCTGCTCTGTTCTGTTTCCAGCCTGCCAAAGGGATTTGATTGCTCAAGGCCCGGGGAGGATATTTAGGGTGGTTCTGGAGAAGGGAGGGTAGTGGTACAGGCTGTGGTAGGCTCTTGGCCAACACACACACACACACACACACACACACACACACACACACACACACACAC